CCTGGCTTTCATGTCTCACAGTCTGCACAGATACATTTGTCTTTGATATGTACTTTGGGCTGACATTAAAGGCGGACTGTTCTGAAAAAAAATTCAGATTACTAACATCCATATGTAGTTCATACTCACTGTGATATGGGACGTTATCAGACAGCAGGTGTCATTTATTTTTATTTTATCGTTATTACCCACACACACACACACACACACACACACACACACACACACACACACACACACACACAAACCAAAGGATGACTTTCCACAACATCATAACAACCTTTGAAAATCCTTCACTTTTAGCCCTCTTCACTGTATTGTATATGAACTCCCTTAGTTACAGTCATTCACCCTGCAGAGAACCCAAACAGCATGATGCTACCACCACTATGCTTCAGTCTCAGGATGAAAGCATCAGGCGTAGAGCAGTCAACCAACACATTCTCATCCTGGGGCTGTCTGTCAAGTCTTCTCTGTAGCCAGTCCCAGGCCTACAACTTCCACATCTGGAGTTTAGAGCGGTGGTGGCAATAGCTACAGGTTTAACAGCCAGGAGGCTGGCATGTGTCTCGTGCCGACTTACTCAGTGATTCTTTTGATGTTTCTTTCATATTTATTATTTCACTCACTGGTCCAGTTTTGGGGTTAGGGTTTTGCCCAAATTCAAGGTAGGGTTAAACTTCATGTTGATGATTCTCACAGAAAAAGATTGATATTACACATGTAGCGGTAGCAGGAAAAATAAAGTTAAAACACTTGACAGAAGTGATCACATTTGCCGTTTTAACCTTGTGATACTTGCTAATGAAGATGCTCTTCACAGTTATTAAAAGTAGATTGTGATGTCATTTTTGCAAAGGGCATATGGGGGTGGTAGTTACTCAGTTAGCTTTCTGAGTAATTATACAAGGTAAACAAGAATATATCGAAGAGTCAAACTCAATGAACTGAACAGTCACTAAAGCAGAGTTCCTGGTTCAGACGTGAACCTGGTGAAAAGGAGTAGACTATATCTCATCAATGCATGAATTATGCACAGAGCTGACACACACAGCAACAAGGACACCATTTCAGGAAAGAGATGTTGGTGTTGGTGAATTTGACCATGATGTAGGACTTGGTATATCAGAAAACGTTACTGAGAAAATGATGCATACTTTTATCTAAATGGGCCACATATGAGGAGTATATGAGGAGTACTGGATGAATAAGCACTCAGTGGAGATGATGACAGGAAGTGGAGTCCCTGGGTGGAAAGAGAAGACACAGATGACGCATCGGAAGGAGGGTAATGAAGGCAGAGTTTGCAAACAGGCATCGTCACATAAACACATGGTTCCCATATGTGATGCCTTAAACATACAGCGTTCGAAAGAGAAAGATGAATAAATGAATTAATAATACAGCTGCATTTTCAGTATCAAACGGTATCAGCAGCCACACACTCATGTGTGTGTGTAAGCTTCACAGAGATGACGTGTAATTACATTTCTAGGGAGGTGCGCGTCAGGTCACAGAATAGGCTATGTGATACATTACTCCACATAAAGTTATCCTGAAAGGTGAATTGGTTATAGAGACCAAAACCATATTCAGTTATTTTATGAGGCTGTAAACAAGGTGCTTTATATTGTAAGGTAGACCCTACAATAACACATACAGAGAAAAACCCAACAATCATGTGACCCCCTATGAGCACTTTGGCGACAGTGGGAAGGAAAAACTCCCTTTAAGCAGAAAGAAACCTGCAGCAGAACCAGGCTAATGGAGGGGCAGCCATCTGCAGCGACCGGTGGGGGTGAGAGGTGGAAGACATTTTAACATGCAAGCTAGCCTCAAGTGGCAATTAGAGGGACTGCAGTCTTATATGTTGGGTCCCTGGTTTCTCACCTCTGTGGCAAAGAAGCTTGTTGGCTACATCCTGCCACTCTACCATCATGGGTCCAAAACTACGCTTTAAATTAAAACTCCACTTAAGACAGTTTACCAAGGTAAGAAATGTCTATTTCTTTATTACATTCAACAGTACAGTACACTGAAATTGCACATTTTCACCAGATATAGCAGCATTCTGACTGGCAAATGGACTAATTATTAGGCACAATCAAGACATTTAAATACAAATACACACGTTCAAATGTGTCATGGCCATTTTCTGACCACACACAGATTCCACTTAGCTGTTAATGTACATGCCTGGTAAAACAAATTCTATACAGCTAAACACACTGTCTTCTACCTGCAACTCCAGTGGCAACAAAACATGTAAGGTCAGGCCAAGCCCAGATTATCTTCTCAAAATAACACAAAAGAAACAACAACAAAAAATCTTTTCTCTTGCACAACATGTGCCAATCAGTGCATTTCAGGAGTTATAAAGCCTTTTCGTGTATTTTTATGGTTTCCTTCAGACAACTTCTTCACTTAAGATAATGTCTTTAAAAGAAAAATTAATTAATTTAAAAAAACCTGAATGACACTGTCTCACCTTTGGAGGAATGGGTGATTGTGGGCTCAGTAAATGCAGCAGTGATGGCTTTTGAGCAGGTTTATCTAATGCTGCGGTTTTGGATGAGCTGGTCTCTGAAGTACGGCGAGGTTTATATGATATTACTTCTTGATTTCAGGTGATATTTTTGCCAAATGTAGGCTGATTTTAAGCACAAAAAAGACAAAAAAAAAAAAAAAAGAGAGAACTTTGGCACTAAAAAGTGAGGTGAAATCCCAGCTGTAAACTGCCTGAGCTGACCTAGAACTAGCTTAGACTCTGAAGCTGCTGCAGGTGGAGATCAGTGTCTTCACCTGTAATGTGCAGCCACTTGTCAAAAACAAATGTACCTTTTTTTGGTCTCTTATCTTATTATTTTTGACAAAACAAAACTTTTTGCATTTCACTTGTTATTTCCTGAATGGTCGAGACTCACAGCACAGGTGTCAAACTCCAGGCCTTGAGGGCTGCTGTCCTGTTTGTTTTCCAACTAACCTGCCCTTGTGCCTTCTTGGATGATCTGATATCCTCGTGTCGGTGTTGTTCCCACATCATCATAATAAATGTTGTTCCAGGTTCAACATTGCAAGTGAGGAATCACATTGTTGTGACGTCATACTTTTGCAAGCCAAGCCATTCATTCATTTATGAAATTCGAATGTTGCAAGGACAATATGTATAGTGCTTACCGTTTATTAAAGAACAGTATCCTGAAATGCAACAAATTCAAATTGCTGGATTGGCGGACAGAGGCGGTTTCTCGCAAGTTAAGTAGATTTTTTAAGGCGTTTTTTTCCAAAGTTGCAAAAGTATGACATCACACCAATGTGATTGGTCACTTGCAATGTTGAACCTGGAACAACATTTATTATGATGATGTAGGAACAACACCAACACGAGGATATCAGATCGTGCGTAGCTTCTTATTGGCAAAGCACACCTGATCCAGGTAATCAGCAGCAGGTAGGGCAGGGATACCTCAAAAACAAGCAAGATACTGGCCCTCGAGGACTGAAGTTTGACACCCCTGCTCTACAGGCTCAAATGCCAAATGGACTTCCAGTGTGTTTCAAAAGATGTGCTCAAGATTCAAATTTGGCAGATACAGCAGATATAGATTTGAATATAAAGATATATATATTGTATATAAAGATGAACACAGAACCTAAAGATTCCCATTACCTGTTGTATAGGTCAAATTGTAGGGTTTGGTATGGTAGTCCAGTTGCCATCGACCTGTTGGAAGCCTCACAACTTTCTGAGAACCTTCATACACTCCCTGACCATTTAAAGTCAGACTGACATTAACACTGCATTGAACCACTGTGGGGGTTTGAGGCTGATACTGCAAACACATCCAGTTGATCCAACCCAACATTTGCCAACAATAGAACATCATATCCCAACACACTGGACAGACTGAGCAGGTAGACTGCACGCACACCGGTAGGTCATTCTTGACTATCAGCAACAGAATCGTGCTTATTTAAAATGTTTGTTCTGGGTTGTTGGGTACAGGGTCTCAGTCGAGCCTGTTATATTCCACCAACTACTACTACTGATACTTGAACTATCAAGTATCAGAAGCTGATATTGAATCTACTGAGTCTTGTAAAATTTTTAATCTTTGGACCACAAATTTGTCATCAAATATTTTGAGCGTATCCTAAAGTGCAAACAAATAAAACAATTTTACAGTGGCTACAGTTGTAGCCACAGCTGCCCTGGGGCAGACTGACAGAAGCGAGGCTGCCATATTGTGCCATCGGCCCCTCTGGCCAATACCAGTAGGTGGCAGGTGAAGTGTCTTGCCCAAGGACACAACGACCAGGACAGAGAGCCCGGGGATCGAACCGGCGACCTTCCGGTTACAGATGCACTTCCCAACCTCCTGTTCTACGGTCGCCATCATATAGACGGCACGTCAAATGACAGGTCCTGAGCTTAGATCACCCAATAATCCCTGAACTCTACCCAGTTTAGCTAAAAGCCCCCCAGGTATTTATTATTTGCTTTTAGATGAAATTTCTTTCTTTTCTAATGTAAAAGCAAACAGATGGAATGAATTGTGGGCTCACTGTTGGTCAATCTTTGATTTGATCCTTACATCAAGTCTCTTTTTCTTGTTTTTTGTTTTTAAGTGGTTTGAGTCTTAGGAATGACAAAGAAGCCCATTAAGTAGCATTGTGTTTAATACTAGACTACATTAACCAGAAAAACTACCACAACAATCCTTAAGTGTATGCATATGCACAAAGCAAGCTGCTGTGAAGCCAGCAATGATTCTAAAGGTATGTCTACTAACTGTTGCCACAAGAGGTCATCCTGAATGGTTTACTTAAGCCACGGGCATCCAACTCCAGGCCTTGAGGGCAGGTGTCCTGCAGGTTTTAGATATCAGCCTGGGCCAACACACCCGAATCAAATGATTAGTTTATTACCAGCCAGGCCTCTGGATATCTTCAAGACATGCTGAGGAGGTAATTTAGCCATTTAAATCTACTGTGTTGGATCAAGGACACATCTAAAACCTGCAGGACACCAGCCGAGTTGGACACCCCTGACTTAAGCCATGGTGCACAAATGACCTTTTTGCCTTTCAAAAGGATCACCTCACTCTGAATTTCCTGCCCAACATGCGTAACTTCTAACCACTAAATGCAAATGCTATTCTGTCTGTTCATGACTGACTGTTGCTACTTCTTGTGGAAACTAAAGCTCAACCAAATCTTTGTTGATGAAGAATCCTCACATTCACATATGATGTTTTAAAAATAAAACTTATAAAGTACAGTTTCAGTACTGACAGTCAGGTCTTATATTGGAAATTTTGCGATTTCTCACCTGACAACCTTTAAATCTCTGGCATGTTGGACTCACCGTGTACCTCCCGGATTGGATCTTCAGTCTGGCTACTGTAGCAATAACCCATTCCACCTCAGCCCCCTTATATTTTTAATGCAGTGCTAACCTCAGTCTTATAGCCTGCTAAGAGAAGTAAACCATGAGAAAACCCTAGTGAGATAAGATGCATTTTAACAGTGTTTCAGAGAGGAGTTATGCCTTATACCACAGAGCGATGCTCTCCACATATATACACAGCGCTCGGCTGTATGCGCCTCTTTGTGTTGCCTGGCAGCTGAGGAAGAAACTTGAAATATTTGGGCATCAGATCGAGGCAGGCGTCGCGGAACTTCTTGATCCGCCAGTAGTAAATAAGAGGGTTGAGGGCTGACTTGAGGTAGCACAACCACAAGACCCATGTGCTGATTTGAAAAAAGCTGTCTTTGCGGTAGAACCTGTCACTGAAGGTAGTTACCAAGCTGAAGGCAGTGAAGGGTGCCCAGCACGCTGTAAACACGGAGAAGAGGATGAGGATGGTGGTGAAGGCACGGGTCTTGAAGCTCATGTCTATGTTCATCTTGAAGGGCTTCTGAAGGCTGAGGAGGCCCAGTTTGCTGGCCTGGCTCAGACAGACGCTGTCTGTGTGGCTACGGATGCGAATGGCATTGTGGCGGATGGTGTTGAGGATGCCCATGAATGTGTATAGCATGACTGTGAAAGGCAAGAAGAAAAAAACTAGTGTTAATATCAACACATAGGCGTGGTAACCAGGATCACTGCTGTAGCCAAATATACACTGAGGAGCTCTGGGTGGGATCTGTAAGGGAGGTGAGCCAACAGCTAGAGGGAAAGTGAAAATGAACGAGAGTCCCCATGTGACCACTATGAGCAGCTTGGCTCTCTGTGGGCTCAGCTTATCTTGCTTCTGGACAATAATAAGAAAACGATCAATGCTTATTATAAGCAGTACAGCTGCTCCTTCCATAACAAAAAACCAAAAGAGCATGGCGGAAACGCGACAGAAAACATCTCCAAAAATCCAGTTGGTGGTCACCACAGTAACCAGAGCAAAGGGCATGTTCAAGATGGCCAGCATCATGTCCGCAAATGCCAGACTAGCCAGCAGAATGTTGATGGCTGAACGCATGGCAGATCTCTGGTACACCATCAGGCACACCACTATGTTTCCTGACAGCGCCACTAAAAGGATGGCTGCCATGACAAAGCAGAAGAAGATCTGCAGAGGTAGGCCAATGCCTTGCTGGATTTCCAGAGCATTTGCTGTTGGGGTGACCGGCTCCGAGGGAGACCCGGAGCCCAGGGAAATGTTTGCCACAGAGAGGTCTTCCATTGGTAGCCTCTCAGAAAGGTTCAGCAACCTCGTAACGACGCAGCAGAAACGGCTGTTAATGTCCCCTGTATCCAGGAGGGGAACAGTAGTGGAGAGAACCATGCTTCTCCAGGGTGAGCAGGCATCATTGCAGGAGAGTTCACATAAAATCTGATGGCAGACATGCGGATACCATCTCCCCAAGGCCACACAGCACCATCTTCATGGTAGCAAGACCCTAAGACAAAAATAAAAATATGTTAGAATTCCATTATGTATTATTGTAGGGTCTACCTTACAATCAGTTTGTGTAGAGCAGATTTCCGTGTTTAAGGATAACAATTTGAGTTGTCACTACCAGACTAAACACAACTTGACCGATGCAGAGGGTCAATGGTTTAGAGAATACCAATTTTCCTATTTGCATATTACACCATACAGCTACAGGATATAACTATTCTGTCTTAGCACGAGACGCCTATTCATTTTCTATTTAAAAACACACTTAACAACACTTCCGTCAATGTATGATGTGTCAGAAAGGACGCTGAAACAGAAACAAGGTTGCCATGTTTGGTACAATAATGATCCTTCACGACTGGAAAACTACAATCAACTGAGGCGTGGGGTGGACAAATGCATTGATTTCCAGCAACAAATAATTAAAAAGTTGAGCAGGACTCGTGGGTATAAGTGTGTATGAGTTACACACTTTTACAAGTTTAAGGAAGTGGACAAAATTTGGCTGTAAAAAATTAATGGCAAGTGCTCCCACATAGTTTGAACAAGCTGAAAAATCCAAAAGTATTTTGAAATAATATGAAAAATTTGAACAAAGCTCCAAGAACACAGAGTCCCGAAAGATTTCATGATACTGTAAATTGGGGTAATAAAATAGGATGTTTCTGCCAAAAGATTGGTGCCTGAATAAAATATGACTCATTTCAGTTTTTTTAAGCAATCAAAAACACAGAGCCTTACTGTTTTAGAACAACAGACCAACACCATGACGGAAATCTTTACAAAACAGAGGATGAATTTCTCACAAAGACCTTTTTACAAAACTGAAACTAAAATGTCAAAGTTTACTAGACAAAAATAAAATTCAATGAGCAACTGTTTTCTTTTTCATCATTTTGTTAAGTGTGTCTGATTGTATCTTGCCCCCAACCATATACCTATTAAACTAATTACATCTTTGAAATAAATAGCATAAAGTTTATTTTTCAGTATACAGAATTAAGCCACATTTAAAAGTGGAATACAGAAAGACAAATCTGTCTCCAAACAGAAACACATTGTCTGGTGTGTTTGGCTAAGCTGTGATAAGAAATCCTATTCGAATTTTTTTTTTTACCCCTGAGAGTGACAGAAAGCTAGTGCTCAACCGGACACAAGGCAAATACTGCAATAAAAACCCTTATCACTAGTATAAACACTGGAGGCATTGCAGGCAGGCCAGCTGGTATTATTACAATAGGCAGCAAATTGCAGATATAATAAATGGGCAGCACCAGAGAGTCCATTTGTTAATAGGATAACTTTCCACACAAATTAAGCTTTTTAGTATTTTAGTCCTGTGTGGGTGTAAAAAAATAAATAAATATCAAACCAGTGTAATTATGAGCAATTACTGTGACAACACTGCATTTAAGCCTGTTAGAGGGACCTGTACTTTAGCTGTGCTGCTGTGATACTAGGATATGCAGCCATTTGACAGATAGCGCCATCTCTTCAGCACACCGGAGGGGACAAAAACCTACAATGCAAAAATAAACGGCAGTGAAATCGGGCAGAGTTTGCTTTGTTCATATGCTGATGACAAGCTTATTGTCTACCACAATTTCCACAAGGAGAGCAAGGAGCAGCCGGTTTAGTCTTCTTGGCCCAGTTCCCACTTCATTAACTCTGCATTCAGTGAGGTAGCCTGCAGCATGTCGGCCTCAACAGGTAGGGTAGTGTTCGCTGCTTTTGGGTGCAATGACCTACAATGTTAAAAGAGCCACTCCAGTCTCCCAGCAGTCAAGTGATCCTGCATAGGAAATGAATGATCAGGTACTTGGTGTTCTGAACGACAGGGAAATGTTTAAATAACTGCAGAGGCCCTGCAATTATGTAATGAGAATATGCTTACAGCTTTTCACACATCTTGTAACCTTGAATCGCTCAGAGGGAAAAAGATTTGTTGGGAAGCTGCCCAGTGAGCTCACGATGGTGCTCGTGATGTTACTGGGAGGTGCCAGTTTTAACGCAATAATAGCTAGTTCAAATACCGTGTTTATTTCAAATATACTGTTAAACACTGGTGTGTCTGTGAGAGAAATACCAGTGTTTCCCCTCACATAGCATTATTTGGACAGGCTGCTGAGTTATACGATCACCCACCCGTGTATGTTTGAAGAGTTACTTAAAAATTCTAATCTAGAGATAATGCAACGTGTGCTGGATTAAGTAGAGGACAATCCCTTCCTATTATTTCAAAGTTCAGTTGCTGCTTGCCAGTTAGCTCCTGCCCTTCCCTGTGTCATGCTTCCCTCCTGCCTGTACTCTAACAGTTGGTAATCTCTGCAGTCTTATAAATGAGAGAGGAGGGTAGACAGAAACCTGCGACCCAGGGCTCTCGTGTATAACCTTGTTTTTAGGTACCTTTGAACATTTCACACTGATTTTTTCCCAGTGATATCATGCCTTGATACAAATGACTCATGGCTTTAATTTCCCATACCATCTACCTTTGCTTATTTGTAACTAAGCATAGACTTTGCAGCAGATTGTACACAACGGTGTGAAACGGTTACAGGGAGCACTTTAAAGTAGTCGTATGAGATATTACTTTTAAAATAAAAACTACAGACTGTGGAGAGCAGGGACTCTAACTTAAAGAGCTCTTGCACAGTAGTGAAAGCACAAGTGGAAGGAATGTTACCACAGATCCATTTAGTACATTAGTTTTCCGAGGATCTAGCAGAGATGTTGTGATTCACAAGATATCAATGTTGTCAATAGTCAATGGTGCAATAGACCTCAATACTTGAAATGTGCAATTCACTTGTATTTTTATTTTTATTCCTATTTATTCTATTTATCCCCTTCGTATATTTTATTTATAT